CCTCTGCTCTGGGCTCTGGGGAGTCGAAAGGAAGGAAGGCTCTTGGGAAGGAGGAGGGGCCCTGGGAAGAAATGGGGGCCCTGGGGGAGGAGAGGCCCTATAAAGAAATGGGGGTCCTGAGGAGAAATGGGGGTTCTGGGAAGTAGGAGGGGCCCTGGGAACAACCTATTCCTCATGCACCGACCTTTGCCCATCCAGGAGAGAGGCAAGGGTGGGTTCCAGGAGCACTGAGTAGCAACAGAGGCGGGCTCTGTGCTGTCCGTGTGAGCTTGCTGTACGTTTGGTAGAGTCTATAGGAGGTCTTGAATGTAGGTTCAAGAGGGTCACTGAGATGGATTGTTTTGGGCATGGTGTTTATTTGAAGAGTTATTAATGCACAGTCAGAAAACAGCATTGCGTGGGCTTTGAGGAGAACTCAGGCTCCAGTACCAGAGAAAAACAGCATGGCCGGTCTGAGCTGACCACAGTACCTCCAGCAGTCCTCTCACAGATCCCCACAGCCCTCTGCTGAGACACGATCTGATTTCCTAGTTAACAGACTTCCAGGTGTCAGGATCTTATCTAGGAGGTGATACATCGAAGAGCATTGGCCAAATAGCCTGCTCCCCACATTCCCTGCCTCTTGCATGGGAATCAGACAGCTGTGAAACCACCCCCATTCTCAGAAATGTGTAAGAAATCCAGGGTCTGGAAAAATGGCTCAGTGGTTAAGAGCAGAACTGGGTTCAGTCCCCAGCACCCACATGGTGGCTCACAACCATGTATAACTCCATTTCCAGGGGATCCAACACTCTCTTCTGGTCTTCAGGAGCGTATGTATATGATGGCCTTCAAGCATGTATATGATGCACATAATGCATGCAGACAACGAAACACTTATAAAATAAAAACAAATTTGTAGAAGAGGCGGCCCTCACGTTTGTATTGTGTGCATCCCAGTGGAGAGTGAGCACATACATGCATTGTTGCTTTAACAGGTAGCCTGCATGCGTTAGACATCACCCGTTGGCTTAAGGAATCTTCATTTTTTGTTGGGCTGCCTATATGAAATAAGGAAGCCCTGCAGGCAAATGCTGCGTTCAAACAATTGTTAGTTTCCCAGCCTACTGTTTTTCCCTTGACCCTGTCCTCCTTGGGAGTGATGCCCAGGTTGGTTGGGTGTTGAAGGTTCTCTTGCTTCTGAACTGTGCGTTTGGGGCATGTTACTGAGAGAGGTGGGTGCAGGAGAGGCTGACAGGATAGCCACAGCAGACTTTCCAAAATGCGTGAGGTAAGGGAGTCTTTTCCCTTATTGTAAGGCCCGAGAAGGAGACTCGTGCTAAGTGTGGTGAACATGAGCCAGCCTAGCTTCCCAGACTGAAGCTGCCACCTCCTGCAGAAGGCTTTCCTGGGCGTCTGTCTGTCTTGCTATCACCTGGAGCTCAGCACTTCTGAATTTTTAGTTTTTCAATTTGTATTTATGTACTTATTGTGGGATGAGGGCATGTGTGGAAGCCAGAGGACAACTTTCATGGAAGTCAGTTCTCTCCTACCCTGTGGTTCCCAGAGATTGAACTCAGGTCATCAATCCTGACAGCCTGTCTCTACCCACTGAGTCATCTTCCTGGCTCCACTTCTGATTTAACAAAACAAACTAAAATGCCAAGCAACCCAAAACCTTTAAATTATCATGTGTGTGCAGCAAGCCCTCCAGCCCCTCAGAGCGGCCCTCCCTCCAGCCCCTCATTTTCACTTGTCGGTTCGGAATGTGCTGCTTTGATTCTGTCTGGAATTTGGGTCCAGGTCCCCGCCTTCCGTCCACCCAGGAAGCTGCTGTGGCAGGCATTCTGCTTCCTCATGTCCACATGAGCAGCTGCTTTCCCGATTTGCCTGCGGGTGGAGGAGAGGCCAGAAAAGTAGCAGGCTCTAGGTTCCTGCAGGTGTCTGTTCCTTGGCATGCTTGGTCCTGACCTCCACGCATGGGTGTAAGCATGAATAGCTGGAGAGGTGGGCAGCTTCACCTTTCCCTGCCCTTGGGTAGGAGTGTGGGGTTGTGAACGGGTGTCGGCCTCTTGTCTAGAGGTACTCCTAAGTAGGGCTCCAAGGCCTTTATTCCAGAGAGAGCCTGAGGTTGCTCATTGGAGGCAGGTGAAACCTGGGGAGTTCCCTTCCTTCAGGCTTGATCCTTCCAGACTGACTTCATTTCTTAGTCCCTCATCCCAGTCACCCTGAGGTCTTGGTAGTGAGGGCAGTCGAAGGGCTTTGGGAGAGTTCTTTATCTTCTTTTACTGACTTGTGTCTCGGGACACCTCTTTCTCCTCCTCTTTAAAAGGGAAGTAGAATCAGGTTTGGGAAGGTGTAGTGTCAGGCTTGAGGTCCATGAAAGACCCAGGAGACTTATTTTTGAGACAGTTTTACTATGTATCCTTGACTGACTTGAAATTCCCTGTAGGCCCCGGCGGACCTCAGACTCAGAGCAGTCCCCCTGCCTCATCCTCCTGGGCTGAGGTCAGGGTTGCAGGTGTGCGCCACTGTCCCTGGCCAGAGAGGTTCTGAGCATCCTTCTCTTAGCTTCCCCAGCACTAGCCTCTGTTTTTGTCCTTTCCACCAGGGGACCCAGCAGCCTTTGTGAGTCTCCTTGACAACAGGATAGATAAGCTAAAAATAACCTTGTGCTGAGCCTTCTCTGGTGCTTGGCTCCGTTCCTGGGGCTTCTGGATGCTCCTAGAGTGTGTCAGTGAGTGGCGTGTGTGTGTGTGTGTGTGTGTGTGTGTGTGTGTGTGTGTGTGTGTGTGTGTATGTGTGTGTGTGTTACACACACGTGCACGCGCTTACATTGTGAAGTCCTGAGGCTTGGCGTCAGAACTGGATAACCACCCCGTGGCATTATTATCTTAAGATAATAATGCCAAGTTGGTTGCCAGTCCCGGCTGAGTGAAAATGTTCCTGAGTGGGAAACTGTTGTTGGTGCCAGGAGTGGACTTCCTCTAGCTGAGAGGATCAATCATGAAAGTGTTAGTGTGTGTCTCTGAGACGTGGAGTAGGACACAGCTCTGGTGGAATTGGCTTCTCTCTCTTCAGGGAATCCCTCCACTGACTGGAGGACATGGATCCGTGGTAGTTAGGTCGTGTGCCTGCCTGGCATGTGCAAGGCCCCAGCTTTAATCTCCAGGACTGTAAAACAAAGCAAAACAGCACACACAAAAGGACCTCCCAGAGAACGGAATCAGAGGACTCAGAGCCGTCTGGGTCAGTGGCGACAGAAGCTGTGGCTTCCCCTCACCGGGCATGCCGTGTCTGTAGACCCTTTCCCAGAGCCAGCGGCTGTCTCCGCTGTTGCAGGCCATCTAGCCACGGCCCTCTGTGTCGGAGTTATCACCGCTGTGAACTGACCCGGCTGTAGTCATCTTTCTTAGGCAGCGTCTGGGTCTCCGTCACACCTGGGCTTAATCCCCCCTCCCCTCTGTCCATTGGTAGGCCTTTTGCTGTGGGCCAGGCATGAGGAAATGAGAACAAGATGTCATGGTCCAATCTTCAGAAGCTGCCTGGGAGCTGTTTTATAAAAGAACCCTCATTGTGAGCAGCATTGAGAGGGAAGGTCCCAGGGCTAAGAGAACATGAGGCTGAGGGAGAGAACATGTCTATGACAGAGTTCTTAAATAGGGGATACATTTTCTACAAACTAATAAGACAGGAAGCTCAGAAGAAAAAAGCTTACTGATAACTTGACAAACACTTCACAAAAGAAGATTACAATGGTCAAAAAGTGATGGTTCCTATGTCATATTTCATAAGGTTTTGAGGATGTGATAACATGTCTATCATTTTTAGTTTATTTTGTTGCCAATTTCTTAATGAAGAATAAAATGAATTCCAGACGGAGAGAAAATGTAGTGGATGAGCATGTTGAAGTTAGAAGACATGGGTTAGGACGGGTCGCTGGGCTACACCCTTAGCTTCCCAGAGCCCGCTTCTTGTTTGTAGACAGGGCCGACCGTGTCTCCTTTCCTCTCAGTTCTGCTCCACACTCACTGGGAGGGGTCTGAACTTCACACCGTGTGAAGTCCGGGTTGGGGCAGTCCACAGATTGCTAAGTGGTGCTGTTGTTCACTTCTAAGTGATCTGGTTCCCCTCCACCTCTTCTCACAGCACCTGGTCCAGTTCCCCTAAGAAAGAAAAGATCTGGGCAACAGGATGGTTTGTAGGCTCAGAATAGTCTGTCGCTTGGTACTGGGGTAGAGTGTGTGGCTGGTGTCCGTTTGTTCCTCCCTCCCGGGCAGGGATAGGTCAGTTCTGCAGGTGGTTCCTTCAGGATAATCCTGTGCGGCAGCTCTGCAGGTTCCATTGCAGAGGGTTTGCTGACGGCCAAGGTCAAGTGTGGGGCAGGTGAGGTGCCCAGGTCTGGCTAGAGCAGAGACTGGAATGGACCAGAGGTGGCCTCCTGCTCTGCCTGTGGCAGCTTTCACACAGGTATTCTTGTGAAGTCCACAAGTCTTCCGGGATTTGGGCGTGGTGGTATTTACTAATCTCTGGGGGCAAGAAGCCCCAAATCTGGCTTCTTCTGAGAGCCTGGACAATGCCACTGACCACTCTGGAGGTTATGAGAGTCCACAGCCTGCCCTGGCACAGTAGGGGCTGCCCCCTCAGGCTCAAGTGCTGGTGGAGAGGAGTTTCCAGAAGCGGCCTGACAGGGCTGAGCCTGGGACACTTAGACGATGGCAGGCTCACAGCCAGACCTCAGGAAGTAGTCACAGCCGCCTCCTTTTTGCATTCGCTGGATCCAAGTGAGCCATGTCTGTCTTCTCATGCCTCCCCCGCACCCCCCCCCCCATGGTGTGCATGGCACAGATGCCTCCACTCCTGTCAGAACCCTGTCAGGATTACTGTGTCCCATCTGCTCTGTCACCTCCCTGTGCCAGGTGCTCTGAGTCCTTTTCCTGTGGATCTGCTGCCTTAGCTACTCACTTCTTAGTAGTTCACCCCGCAGTTTTGACCTTCGCTCTTCTGTTTTTGCCTTGTAGGAATCGGAGTCAGAAGCAAAAATAGATGGAGAGACTGCATCAGACAGCGAGAGCCGGGCCGAGGCAGCTCCCCCACCAACCTCCGTAGACGACACCCCAGAGGTCCTTAACAGGGCCCTTTCCAACTTGTCTTCAAGGTAACCAACCGGCTTAGTGGTGCACTGTGCCCATTGCTGTGTAAGACTGAGGCTTTTAGGGTTTCTGCTTCAAGATGTTTCCTCTCCACATATAGCCGCTGTGAACATTTCTTTCAGTCCTCCAGGAAGAACTAAAAAGTGTCTCAGCTTAAGTGCATCAGGGGTAAAACTCCTGACTCAAGAATCCAGCCCTCCTAACCCCAGCTGTGTGCATGTATGAGAAGCACAGGTCCTAAGACTCCAAAGCGTTTTCTGAAAGTGTTTCTGTGTGCCTTCTGTGGGTAAGGGCATCGTGGATCCAGGGCTCAAAGCCTAGCTTACCATTAGCTTGCAGCAGGATCTGTTTCCATTTCTCAGCATAATATGTACAAATATTTTATGCTGATTTAAAAATGCCCTTTGAAATAAAACCTATTGAGACAGTTGTGTTGAGGGTTGGGTGGGTTAATGCATACAATTCTTATAGATTTGCCTGTTGTATATTTGCAGTAGTCGGTACTTTCTCTGTCTGAGACAGCTGTTATCATTGTGGTTTCAGGGCCATGCCATGTGGAAGCCTGCTGTAGGAAAAAATAATTTTAGCCTTAGAAATGGCCATGGTGGGGCTGGAGAGATGGCTCAGAGGTTAAGAGCACTGACTGCTCTTCCAGAGGTCCTGAGTTCAATTCCCAGCAACCACATGGTGGCTCACAACCATCTGTAATGAGATCTGGTGCCCTCTTCTGACCTGCAGTCATACATGCTATATATAAAATAAATAAATAAATCTTAAAAAAAAAAAAAAAAAGAAATGGCCATGGAAGCCATCCACACAGACACAGAAGCAAAGGGCATAGCTTATCCCCTGGCTCTCCCATACTACCCCCAGACTTTGTTGAAGGTATAGTCTAAAGTGGCTTCTCCGCCAGTGGCTTCTGGCTGTGAGCAGGCACTGGTGCGGAGGTCCTGCCCTCACCAGCTGTGCCTCTGTTGAGGTGAAGGGGGCACTCTGGAGACAATTCCATTCAGAGCCCTCCAGTCTTACTTCCTTTAGGCTTGTGCTTTGGTTCTGTGGGCACCTGACGGGTCTTTCTCTCTCACCTAGATGGAAGAACTGGTGGGTGAGAGGCATCCTGACTTTGGCCATGATTGCATTTTTCTTCATTATCATTTACCTGGGACCAATGGTTTTGATGATGATTGTAAGTACCACTGACAAGCCGTCTGAGTGCTGCACCCAGCTCTCCCCGGGGCATTGATCATCTGCCATGTCTGCTGCCCACAGTGCCTGTGTTGGGTTGGTTCTGGGAATCCTTGGAGCCCCGAGTTCCTCAGAACCTTCTGTCTTAGAGCACCTGTAACCTCCCATTTTTCACGTGCAGCTGCAGGGTCACTGGCGTGCACAGTGACCCTGGCTATTGGTCTGTGTGAGACTCTGGTTTCCTTTCTTGTTTTCCTGGGGCTTTCCTCGCAGACTTGAATGTTCATTAAGAACAGTCCACAGGGTCTGATCTTCCCACCTGTTTTAGTTAGGCTTTCTGTTGCAATGATAAACACCATGACCAAAGGCAACTTGGGGAGGAAAGGGTTTATTAGGTTTACATGTCCTGATCACAGTCTATCATGAAGGGATGTCAGGACAGGAAATTGGAGGCAGGAACTAAAGCAGAGGCGGTAAAGGAACACTGCTTGTTGGCTTGCTTCCCATGACTTGCTCAGTCTGCTTTCTTTCTTTCTTTTTTTTTTTTTTTCCAGACAGGGTTTCTCTATGTAGCTTTGTGCCTTTCCTGGCACTCACTCTGTAGCCCAGGCTGGCCTCGAACTCACAGAGATCCACCTGCCTCTGCCTCCCGAGTGCTGGGATTAAAGGCGTGCGCCACCACCTCCCAGCTCAGTCTGCTTTCTTAGACATCCAGGATCACCTGCCCAGTGATGGCACCACCCACAGTGGGCTGGGCCTTCCACATCAGTCATCACCCAGTCTAGTAGAGGCATTTTCTCAGTTGAGCTTCGCTCTTCTCAGACGTCGCTAGTTTGTGTCAGGTGGACAAAACCTAATCAACACGTACAACCATTACAGACAGTTCTGGATGACAACAGCTGGATGCGAGCAAAGCAGTTGAAGTCCCCATGCGTGTTAGTCAGGGTCAAAAGTGGGAAGAGGATTGGCTGAGTCCTGGAAGGTTCTAGAATAAAAGGTTAATCAGGACACCAGAACTATGCATTTTACTATGAGAAATTGTGCCGTAAAGGGCTGCATTACCTTGGGGTGGTGTGAGAGAAAAGGAAGATACCAGAATCGGTGTAAGATGGAAACATTTCTTAAGTGCCATAGTTGTGTTGAAGGCCTGTGAAGACCCTAAGAAGAGCTCTCCAATTCCTCTGTGTTTTTCAGGTGATGTGTGTTCAGATTAAGTGTTTCCATGAGATAATCACTATTGGCTACAATGTGTACCACTCCTACGACCTGCCCTGGTTCAGGACCCTCAGCTGGTAAGCTCTCTTGGTCCATGGGACACCTTGCCTGATGTGGGTGATGTGATTTGTGGCAGGTACTTACAGTGATGGTGGAGACAGTCATTGCCACAGACTTGCACAGAACCTTTGAGTCTGTGTCTTTCATAGGCTGGATTTGTGGAGTCTTCAGTAGCTGGGGACTTCCCTAGAAGAAACAGATGTGTCTGTGGCTGGGCTTACCTCAGTAGTAGGGTTCCTTAGATTCCTCCAGCCAGGGATGGGAGTTTGCATCCCCACCCGAGATCTGGGTAGTTTTATGCTGCAACCCAGCGCCTCCCTGGAGTCAGCGGGAGCTGGCAGGTTCTCGTGTCGGGGCCGTTGTCTCAGAACTTGATTTCTCATCAGTACAGCAGGTTGTTGTAGGCTTCATCTGTTGGAGCCCTGCTTCCTCTGAGGCACTTGGTGCCAGCTTGGTTAGGATCCGAGAGATCTAGATCCTAGAGAGGCTTGGCTGCCTACCAGCAAAGGCTATAGATAAAGAACTGTAGTGCCTATGATTCCTGAGCCCCTTCCTGACCCTCCTGCTGTTGGCTACACTGTTCTCAGGGGGTGTTATTCTAGCAGAGCTGGGAAGACTCACCGACTGTGCTAATTGCTTTGTGACTTAATGATGGATAGTAACGATTTGTGCGTAAGAAACTTGGGTATGGCCAAAGAAGCTGACCTGCTCAGACTTGGGTACACTCTTCCACATGTATCCCATCACTCAACAGTACAAGCTGCCTCTAGTCTCCACCTGCCCTTGTGATTGCTCTCTGGGCTCAGATGCCGTTCTCTTTGTGGCTGTTCTCTGGTTAGACAGCTGTGTTTTGAATTTTGTTAACGTACTCAGGAGGCCTGACCCTTGCTATGGTCACTTCGCAAAGGAAATTTTTCCACACAATGGAAAATAAACCCAATGTGTGAGTTTTTGTACTTTTTAATTAAAAGATGGGAAAGAGAAGCTCTTCAATTTCTTCTGTTGAGCTTGGGGTGACGTAGCATGATCCCATATCCAGAAGCATAATGGAGGTGTTGGTTGTGGTTTGCCCTCATGTTCCTCCAGTTGAGGAGAGGATGTAGACAAATGCATAGGATCTGGGTCACAGCCAGGCTTCCACAGGGGGATGTGTCCTGAGATGGAGCCTGGTTACCTAATGAAGTCGTCAGCTTCTGCTTGCTATAGAAATAAATATAATGTGGTAGATGGCTGTCAGGTCATGCAGCTTTTTTTTTTTTAATGATGTTGGAGCAACAAGTGAAAACAATGTGTAAATGAAGGGCGTTCCAAGCAGGAAGAGGTAAAGCAGAACAGACCGTGGCAAGTGAACCACTTTTGACAGAAGTGGAGAGTTCCTGTGGGAATAATGGGAGTGAGCCTCGGGAGGTGGGCGAGGTGGCACACTCTGGGGGGTCCCAAGATTAGGGGTGGGGACACCACAAAAGGGGGAAACTGGCTTCCAGGTTTGTAATAAAGGGGAGTGATATAATAAAATGTGCCATACATGTCTAGATCAGCTCTCAAGATGGCGGGCTGCTCTCTCTCTTGGGGGCTGTCTGATGGCCTCATGGAGGAGATCTGCAGCACTCCCCTGGCACTGTCTTATCATTCCAGGTACTTCCTCCTGTGTGTAAACTACTTCTTCTATGGTGAGACAGTGACAGACTACTTCTTCACTCTGGTCCAAAGAGAGGAGCCTTTGCGGATTCTCAGTAAATACCACCGGTTCATTTCCTTTACCCTGTATCTCACAGGTATGTATCATGTGTTTCCCAGTCTCCTCTGGGCATCATGTTCCATCATGTTTCATTTGTATGAGTTGGTTAAAGTTTTCTGATGTTAACTGACCATGCTAGGAAGTGAGCTGACAGCTCTGTCTTACATTGACTGTAAACTAATTTTCCCCATGGGCTTTAAAATCAGTGCACTGATTAATTGTTACAAATAAGTTAGTCAATGGACTACTTAACTCAGCTAAAGAAAAGGAGAAAGAAATGCAGTGTGAGTCATTTTATTCTCTCTCCTGTCTCCAACTAGGGTTCTGCATGTTTGTGCTGAGTCTAGTTAAGAAGCATTATCGACTGCAGTTCTACATGGTAAGGGGAGTGTGTGTGTGTGTGTGTGTGTGTGTGTGTGTGTGTGTGCGCGCGTGCGTGTGTGTGTGTGTGCGTGTGCGTGTGCCTGCGTGCTGGGGGGAATGTGTATGTTATGGGCATGTGTGAGAGATGGAAATTGATTTCTTGGTTTACTTGAAGATCTGTAGAAACTAACCACCTGAGCTTGTTGGCCAGATGATCTGCAGAAACTAACCACCTGAGCTTGTTGGCCAGATGATCTGCAGAAACTCATCAGGCCTTTCATGTTTTCTGGGACAAATCAAAACTTGGCGGGGTTTGATCTGTATTCATCTAGAACCTAGGGCAGGAAGAACAAGGGTCCTGCTGCAGTCCTTCATCCAACAGATCAGACACTCGACTTACACCCTGGGCGGTCTTTCCTCGGGG